CAAGAATCCCTATGATGCCCACACTGGGGTGTGGGTGGCAGGGATCTCGTCTGGTTGCTTCTGTGGAGAGGCCTTGGGTCTGGGGCAAACTTTCCCTAGAAGGCTCACTCACTCTCTTGCAGGACCAGTTGGAATTCACAGGGGTTTCCCTTGCTCACTACTCTCTGATTTGGTCCTGCTGCAGAAGTGCACGGGTACGCTAACAGTCAGCTCTGTGACACTGTGGCCACAGGACTCGGTGTCCACCTTTCCTGTGTGCTGCCTCTTTGTTCTTTCCCTCTGCCAGGAGGGGTTATGTTGATTGGTCCCTGGGTGGCGTGGGAAAGAGTTAGGGTGAGTGTACTCAATCCCAGATCCCGGGCCTAGATCTCTCTGCCAGAAGCAGCCTGGTGGTAGAATCTATGTTTGCTTATCCCAAGAGAGTACCAGGTAGGGTTGAGTGTCCTCAGATCCAGAGCTTGGGTTTCTCTGCTAGGGGCCACTGGGTGAGCTGGAGAGAGGGTGCTGTGTCCTTGGCAGGCTGCCTCTCTGACCTTCCCCTCTGACCTTCCGCTCTGCTAAGGCAAGCTTATGGAGGTGCTCTCAGGGGAGTGCCAGCAGGGGTTGGGGTTTCTCAGTCGGATCCTGAGCAGGCGTTTCTCTGCCAGGGGTTGGGGGGGCGCCGGTGATAGGAACTTGCTGCTAGACCTTATTGCGCTGGACCCAGGAGAATCTGAGGACGTGTAGAATGACCACAGTCCCAGATCCCGAGCTGTAGTTTGTTTGCTAGGAGCAGCCAGCAGCACTGGGGTGCCGGCACTGTGAAGCCGCTGTGCGCCTCTTTATCCTTCTGCTCAGCTGTGGCAGGGTTATGGTGTCGTTTGGGGGAGTGCCCGAAATGATTGGATTTTCTCAGCCCCGACCTCGGGTTGGGGTACAGACAATGTGGTCTGTGGCAGATTCTGCTGATCGCCTTTTGCCTCCTCCCAAGTGGGAGTAAGGATTTTGAGCTGGGCACGCAGCTGCTCTCTGTGTGCGGCGGGAGCTCAGTTGTGATGGTGGTGGGTACCCGTGGTCAGGGAGACCTTCCAGGGAAAGACTGGGTGACCCGTGAGCAGTCTGGCAACTTTCCTTCCCCGTGGGTTTTTTTTTTTTGCGACTGGGACTCCCAATTTCAGGCACCCTTGTGCCCACCGACCAGCCTGGGAAAGTGATCGGGACATGCAGGCTTTCGGTACCAGCCTGGAGACCCAAAGCCCGCATTAGCCGGGTTCTCTTCAGGGTTCTGGCTGGGCAGCTGAGAGTGGACCCGACCAATTCCCACACCGTGGGAGCCTCCCCTCACTTGGGAAACAGGATAGCTGTTGTTTTAGGGCCCAGAGTTCAGTCTCCTGGTCACTGCTCAAAGTGTGTTGTCCAGCTTCTCAGACATGGTGTTCTCTGGGTGCTGCCATCTTGGCCCCCCTCCCAAAAGTCAACTGCCAAATTTCTATAGCTCAAAAGTTTGGCAAATTCTGAAAGGTTGAAAATTTCAGTTTTGGGAGTAATTATAATATTGACAAAACAGTGTGAGGTACTTGGATGTTCAGTAGTTGATTCAGTGCCATCTTGTCAATGGAAGTGAAGCATCTCAACTGCATCACATAATTACTTCCTGTCTATCATCAAGTGGTGAGGGCCTTAAGGTCAAGCCACCTTTAAGTCACAGTGACTATTGCAAGCTGTCGTTTGAGGTGAAATGCTTCTTCAGACTTTGTCAACAAAGAGACATCAAACTTGAATGTATCCAGAAAGTCTGTGCATCGGCGAGTGTAATGTTAACCATTGTGGTGTGGATGTGGGCCTGTGGACCCTTGGCACATAGGACATTTGTGCCAGACGAGGTCTCTGGAATGCAGGAAATGATCAAGGATGCAATCAGCTTCAGGGAACCCTGTCCAGACTTTGCCCTTAAGGAAGACATTATCTTTATTACCTTGGGGTTTAAACAACTCTCTGGTGAGGCAGGGAGACCTAGTTATCCTGGAGAGAGGAAATAAATCTGTTTCCTTAGCAGGAGAGTGACACTCTCTAGGTTTGGTGGCTGTTTGTAACACAGATGTCCTTAGCAAAACAGCAGTGGAGAGATCTGCCTAAGGAATTGGACTCAGTGTCATGGGGAACAGAGAGAGACCATAAAATTTGAATCTGGGCTTGAGTTGTGCTGTACCCTGAATATTCTTGGTTGGCTTATCAATTGCCATATTCTTGTGTATGGAAACACTGAAGAATTTAAATTAGATGTTGCATTTAAAGGACTTAGAGCTATACTTAACCCATAACAAAACCATGTGAAAAAATCAGGACCATGGACAGCGGTGAGGATGGCCTGTAGCAGCAGTAGCTTAAAAATTAAGGGGTCTTCGCGGACAGGAGGTGAGAGACTTTGGTGCACCCAGTCCTAGATAGGATTAAAAAAAAAATCAAACCCCTCCCCTCAAGGCTCATGGATCTATCTGTAAAACAAGGCTGAGAGACTGTTAGAGTCTGAGATGGCAGATGACTCCAAGGAACTAGCATCTTCCAGACATGACCGAACTGACTGATGCACATACAAACTCACAGAGACTGTGGCATCATGATCAACACCTGAAAATGTTCAAACCAGGCAAAATCCAGTACTGAGAAGGGGAAGAGGATGTGAAGCGCCACATTTAACTGAGAAGATATCTGTACCTGATACCTGAAGGATAAAAAATATTCAGTTTTTCCCAACAAATTATGTCACTGGGTATATCAACCACACCTCCTCAGCACAAGACCATGTCAACAAGTAGTCATTCAATCCTAAATGGACTCTATGATTTTGGTCCTTTATATTATTTACTCTAATATTTTTTCTTTTCTTTTTTTTTTTTTTTTTGTTTCTTGAGAGAAAAGAACATGAAGTTGAGTGGAAGGGAGTTGGGGAGTATCTGGGAAGAGTTGAGGGAGGAAAAATACTATGATCAAAACACACTATATGGATTTAACAACAACAAAAGAATCGAGGGCTTTCTTTTCCTATACAACAAAAATGCAAGGCACCAAGAGCTGGTTCAGTTACTCACAAATCCTGCCAGGAATAGGCTTCTGCTGCTTCCTTCACATTGGCTCTTGTTGTTATGGTAACAAATGGGCACGGTTTCTCTAGGCCCAAATTTCCATCCAGGAAGGCAGCAAACTCAAGCCTGCTGCTCACAGCTCTGTTCCTTTTACTCTAGAAGGATCATGTTTTTAGGGATTTGATCGACATATGAAATCTCAGGTCTGGATGATATGGCTACTCTGACCTGGAAGACTAAATTTTTAGTTACATGTACAGTTGCCAATGTCACAATTCTGTTAAAGAAGTAAGAAGATGATACTAGCCAATTGACTGGTGGTGTTTGCCGCAGGCATCATCTCAGTACTCAAGCTGTTCAGGCTTTAATATAGGCCTTCGGTGAGCAATAAAACATGACTTTTCTGGCAGTCACAGACTTTATTCAGTGTGTGCTTTTTAATAGGCATTCATATTCAAAATCTAAAAGGTTAATTCTACTTGATCTAGTGGTCAAAGGACAGATACATCCCCAGACACTGAATAGCTCATTTGGTGAACTTTAAAATAAAAGAGAATTAACATATTGTGGTTAATAAGCCTACTGGAAGGTTTATTAACCCGAACAGTGGCAGTCTGATTACCTTACATTGTGGTTTCCTCTTCTACACTAATAATAGGTGTTGTGGCATCTTCAGCTGCCTCTCTGCATTGTACATTCAGCATCTGCTTCCATCTTCATCTTACCAGGAGTTGGTCAGGTGGACATCACATCAGTCTGCACGTATTGGTGGGTGTGAGTTTCCACTTAGTTCAAAGATATTTGTCTTAGCCATTTTTCTCTTGTATAAGTACAACTAAAAGGTAAGTCAAAGAATTTTATAGTCATATATATTAAAATAAAAGTCATTTATTTTAAAGAGTGAAGACCATGTCATTGTGAGCCTCCATCATGCTTAAGGGAATTGCTAGTCCTTTACTGTCGCTACTGTTGAAATTTACCCTTTTTACTCAAACATCTGCTTTGACCATAAGCACCTAGCCTGTCAAATTGTACCCATTTCCTCTTGTTTGAATTAATTTAATTATGAAACAGAATGTCAGCTTCTTAGCCTTTTCAAAGACATTGGAGATGTCAAGAGTGAGAACATTATGAAACTAATACCTTCTGTACAAAGCAGAGGGCAAACAACTGCTTTCTGTGACCAGTTACAATCTGTTGTTGTATCTTCCTTTCCTTCTTTCTTCCTACTCTTAGCTTGCCAGACCACCTAAGGACCAAGTGTGACATACAAGCTAAATCTTCATTACTGTCACTCAAGAAAACACAGATCCCCCTCATCAGAAGTCACTGATATTCATTGATAGTAGAACCATACTATTTAAAATATTTTAATAATACACTACTGGGTAGGTGTTTATTTATAGCATAGTAGCATATTTTCTACCAAGCTAATGATTTACATTATAAGATATATGCAGAATAGATACTTTTGAAGAGTGAGATAAAATGGGACTAGCAGATGCTCAGAGTAAATTTTTTTGTGTCACAGGATATCATCTGGCCCAAACTTAGGGACTGAATTTAGGGAAAAAAAGGACACTCCCTTACATGAAAGACATCTACACTTTTAGAAATCGTAATTCGTTTTACTCTGAGCCTACTTAAGCCCCAGGGAGTTTAATTCATTGCATCCTCCCAAAATAAGGGTTGAAATAAAAGTTGAAAACATTAGACCTTAAGATAAAATCAGTTTTCTAAAACTATGTAGAAAATACACTGTGATCAATGCCAAATTCCCTTGACCATAACATTTTCCTTCAAGATCATGATTTATTAACCATCTTTTGCTGGTGAAATAGAGTCTTTTAATTTGAGATCTTACTTGAAATGCCAAGGCCGCCCTTCAGGAAACAGCATACAGCTGAGGTGTAGAGAGCAATGGCCTGGAACTCAAGGCACTTTTAAACTATTTTCTCAAATTTGTGTGTCATACTTGTGCAGGGTCTGTGCAAATTTTCTTTGTATCATTCCATTTTTATAGTATATACACTGTCAAAGTGAGTACAAATTATTTTCTAAGAATAATTTAAGCACATATCCTTCATCATGTCCCAAGACCCTTAACCTTGAGCTAACAGATTCTGTAAGTGGCTGTAGACAGCTTATATTGCTAAAATTTTTATATGGAACATTTATCCTCATTTCTGGCCATGGTAGTCATTTAGCAGACAGAAACCTCACCAAGTATTTTTCCAGAAAGAATTTAATACAAGGAATTGTTAGCAGCTTGGCCCAGAGCAGGCTTTATTTGCTTTGTAAGTCACAGTCCATCATCAAGGGAGCCCAAGGTAGGGTCTCAGAGCAGGAACAGGAACTGAAGGAGAGATGTTGGAGGAGTGCTGCTTACTGGCTTGTTCTTCATGGTTTGCACAGCAGGCTTTCTCATAGAACCCAGGACCACTGTCCATCATGGGCTGAGTCTTCTTCAGAAGTCGTTATTCAAGAAAATGCCCCCACAGACATGTCCATCAGCCAATCTGATGGAGGCAATTCCTACACTGAGGTTTCCTTTTTTCCTGGTGACTCTAAGTAGATCGACTTGACAAAAACCAACCAGTAGCCCAAGGAGTAAACAAGCAGATGTATGTAACACACCTAGTGTGATGTGTGAATTATAATATGACGGTTGCTTGTTGATCCAGGAATCAGCCTAAGAGGAATGCCTGGATGAGATTCCTGCCCCAAAAGCATGATCCAGCCATCCTGCTGCATACTTGAAATGATAAAAGTAATTGGCCAGTAAAAATTATTTTTTAATTACTATCAAGGTGGAAAGTGAACAATTATGTAGTTGCTACATAAGTGCTGCTTTTTAAAATGAATAATTTGAAATTATTTTATCTCTCTGAGCCACTGTCTCTGCCGATTAAATGAAAAGGAATGGAGATGTACTTGATTAAAAAAAAAACTAAGGAGAACAAACAAAAGGAGATAAGGAATGTTAAGAAAAATTTCCTATAATAATCAATAATGATTTTTGCTTTGGGCACAGAGAGTGTCATGTACGCTCTACCCAGTGAGGTCAGCTGTAGCAAAATCAGGTTGATATTTTCAACTACAGACACTGCTGATTTCAAAGAGGCTCAGGCTCACCTTCTTTGATGACTGAAGTCACCATGGCGTTTTCCAGCTGTGCAGATCCCTCAGGTACCACCTGAGACAAGTTTCAATGTCGCGCGCGGCCTTTGCCGATAAGGACGACGCGACAACCGAGGATTTCTTCAGCGGCAAGTTTATTGTACAGCTCTTTCTTGCAGATGGTGAAGGACCCAAACCCCGGGTTGTGCTCTGCTTAAATAGCCAGCAGTGCGACCTGTCCGTCTGTAATTGGTGCTCTGTTCAAGTCTTCATAAGCATATGGCTGGCAATTGGAGTGCAGCCTAAACCCTCATTAGCATAAAGCTGCGCATGCGTAAACTGCAGGGCGGCGCAGGCAAGAAGCGCGAAAATGCTGGCAAGAAGAACCAGGAAGCAGGAAGCCGGTGCCATCTTGTAATGGCGGGAGCGGCTCCCGACATTTCAAGTTGCAATAGTGCAGGAATACACTCAGATGTCTATCCCAATAGTCTCCTTCTGTGCATGGTGCAGCCATCCACCCTTGAGAATGGCCAACGTCAACAGAACTGAAGTAGAATTTCAAGATTCTTGAAAAATCTCAACCCTTTCTCTCATATTTTTTATTTCATTGTTCAACAATTTCTCAGGTCCAAATCTTAAGTTGTTTTTGACTTAAAATCTTTTTTTTTTTTTTTACACATTGCACTTCCACTCTGTCCTGTCTTAGTTTCATGCCCTGTTGCTGTGATAAAATACCCTGACAAACACAATTTAGGAGAGAGAAGGATTATCTGGATAACCATTGCTTCTTACAGTCTAATGCTGCAGTGCAGTTACGGTGCAGGAACTGGAAGGAGCTGGTCATATCAGCAATCCAGGACAGAGAGTGAATAATTGCATGTGCACCTGTGCTTAGCTCATTTTCCCTTTCTTATACAGCCTGGGCCCAAAGTCTAAAGAATGGTGCCATTCACCTTTAGGCTGGATTGCTTTACATAACTTAATATGTGGGTTGAATGAGAATGGTCCCATGGACATATATTTTATGCTTAGTCTCTCCCTCTGTGGATCAGGATGTAAGGCTTTCTGCTACCACGATGATAGCCTTCTGAAATTGTAAGCAATTCTACAAGTAATTTTTTATATGAGTTTCCTTACTCATGGTATCTCTTTATAGCAATAGGATAGTGACCAAAATATCAAGATAGTACCACACAGACATGCCCACAGGCCAGCCTTAGCTAGACAGTTCTATATTGACACTTCGTTCTCATGTGATTCTAGATTGTGTCTAGTTGACCATTGCACCCCAGTGTGGATTTCATAGCTTAAAAACTGTTGTTCTCTTACTTGCTTTCATCTCCCAGAGCTATAGTAGCCTCTAACTGGTTGTTCTCTGCCATTTAGGCCTTCAGATCTTCACTACAGAACAATCATGGGCATAGGTTAAAGAATAAACTATTCCTCTACTTTTACACAATCAGATGTGCAATAAAATTCATTACCCTTAAAATAATACCTGGGTGAGTATATAATCTTTAATTGTACTTTATGTATCTAATGTGTAATTTTTATAACATAAACAACAATTGGATTTTACATTTTTGCTTTTATGTGAAATGCAGTTTTGCAAATACCAGTAAAGAAAGTGTTTCTTGGTAAAGCATTACTTCTTTTAATCATTCAATTTGATTCACAAATGCTGATGCGGTTTGACTCTCTGTATTGCAAGTTCATTAGCAGACAATACTCAATTTTGCTGGATGACATTATAATAGAGTAGGAATGGTCATGTTTTAAACCACAGGACATAGACTTCAGTTTACTTGACAATGAATTATCTAGTAGCTTTGGCCAGTTGACTTAAACTTTTTGCCTGATCAAACACACACACACACACACACACACACACACACACACACACACACACCCCAACCCCAAAACAAAACAAAAACAAAGAAAATAGTAACAGCTGATTTCTATGTAGAATTTTCATGAAGATCAAATGAAAATATTTGTGAAGAGTAAATCACTCAGTGACAGAATTACACAACAGATAAACTATGGATCATAAAACTTGTAGATGGATTTATAAACAATTCTGAAACACTTACTGAAATAATGTAAGGGCTCACCTGGATATTGCCTATAGCACATCATGCCATGTGCTATGATAATAAATATTTACATAGATAGAAGATGATGGCTGGGTTACTGGATGTCATCTGCCACCTGAATAGAAATTAAACTGAGGAGTATGGACTTGGAGCATCTCTGCTCATCAGTGGAGACAACTGTCTATTGCTTAGAGCAAAACTCCCTGTTTAAGAACACAGGCTTTCACAGATACTGAGGACAGTTGGGAGAACAGTTGGAGTGTGGATAGTAACTCTGCCAGTTTGAGTGAGGAGAGACATTAAATGTGGTAGCACTTTTGAGAAAACTACAGGATGAAGTAGATCAATGGTTCTCAACCTTCTTAATGTTACAATCTTTTAATACAGCTCCTCACGTTGTGGTGACCACCAGCCATAAAAGTTGCCACTTTATAAGTCTAAATTTGCTACTGTTATGAATAATAATGTAAATATATGTGTTTTATGGTGATTTCTTGGGGGTGTCAACCCACAAGTTGAGAACTGCTGACCTAGAGGAAGGTAAGGGAGGGCTTCAAATTATTGTGTTTGAGTCCCATTACATAGTTTTAGGTGACATGTTAATCACAATTCATTACTATAAGGAATACCTAAGACAACCAGCTTGTAAAGGGAAAATGCTATTTTGGCTCACAGTTTTGGATGTCCTAGTCTATACTGGCTTGCCCTGTTGCTTTTGTGGAAAGGTAACAGTGTGCAATAGAAGAGGAGACTTCAAGGTTTTGCTGTCCTTTAAGGAAATGTCCCCAGTGACAAATCCTCCCACATCCCAACAGTGTCTCCCTGGATACCTGGCTGCAATACAGGGTGATTTAAGAGCCAAACTATAGCAGTTGTCATCAATGCCATTGACAGACTGGACTCGGAAGTCAGAGTTGTTCAAGATCTCTCAACTAGTAAGGGACTGACCTGGGACTGAAATTCTGATTCATTGGCCTCTTTATATTAGATCCTGTTCAATGCCAATGAGCTGCTGTGTACTAGATAATTTGGATTTGCTTATATTAAAGATTGTCAGAGAAATGTTCATGGGTGTTGATAAAGCCTTTGATTCCAGGGAATAATATTATTAAGAGAACCAAGTCCCAGGGCTCTGTGAAGCCACTTTCTTTGGTAGAAGAGGGAAATTGGATTTACTGCTGAGCCTATCTGATTATCACAATTTTTTTCCAGTCAGATATTTTCTTGGTAAAGAAATATTTTGCTACTTTGAATAGTGCCTTTACAATATCCCAAAGAACCTTACTGTATCACTGAACACTAATTTAGAAAATCACGGTTTTCTGATGGTTCCATCCAGGCCTAGGCAAATGGCAGAGCTGCCTATAATTCTTGACCTGCTTCAGGAAGTCAGCGACAATATTTGACAAGGACACTACTTCATTAACATTTTTCTTGGCTTCAAGTCACAAAACAGAGCACATGATTTCACTGAGCTCTTTTGTGTCATATGTAAGTTCCTCTAAAATACTTCAGGACAAGATGTGTGTTGGGGAAAATATCAGATTTGGTCAAATCTCAGCCTTTTAAATTCCACTTTTCTTTTGACAGACTCACATTTTCTAAAGCACTTTGGACGAGTAATAAGGCTCTCCTTTGCCTTTTGTTGGCTGCATGTTTTTATTGGAAAAAAAACCCTTTTACTACTGAAAGAACTCAGACTTGTTTCAATTTACACTTAGTTATGGAAATAAAATCTAAGCTTATGGACAGTTGAAATGTTTTATACTTAGGCTGTGTCATATAAAACAAATCAGTAAAACCCATTATCTATGTAACAATTATGTTCATT